TAATTAGATGTGCAATAAATGTCAGGTATCTACATGTGGTATCTGCACATGCACCCCTATTAGGCTGGAGTAAATGAATTTACTGTGTGGCATAACATTACTTGTAAATACAGGTACTATCATGCTGCAGAGTAAAATATTCTGCAGCAGTACATGTGTAGACACTGCCTCGGCTGGCTGGGGCACAAGGGTGCTTCGTGTGAGGGCTGCCTGCCAACTAGCCCTGCACTGAAACTTATGCCCCAGCCAATCCCTCTGCAGCACGCTGAGCCAGGCTGGAGCAGCCCCAAGCTGGCAGGCTGACTCCTGGAGCCCCCTGCCAGCTGGGGCTACTCCGACCTGCTCAATGTGCTGCATGCCCAGGTGCACATGTAACTGACATTAATATGCACACGTAGATGTGCCCATTCTTGGCTTTCCCTTTTTGACTGACAAGAAGTGTGTGGCGGTTGTGATATGAACTGATTTTCTGATGGGATACAATTTGGAAATGGACACATTTAGATTAGGTCAAACACTCAGAAAGCATTACATTCAATTTGTAAAACTACTCAGCTCCCACATAGGTGCCCAAATAAGTCATCACATTTTTAAAACTTGGCTACAACGAGGGCTTCTAGGTGATCTGAGCACTTTCAAAATTCTGTAGGTAGCTGCCTACAAGGCCCACAAACTCCTCCTCAGCTGTGTTTTGAGAGCACATGACAATCTGGCCTTACAAGTTGTCAGTCAGAATTGCCCTGAGTTTAGAAGTGAACAGGCTGGAGGTTGCCTACCACTTTACCTTAGATGGTCGTTAGATTTCAAAAATTCAGAATTCATTAACTCAAGACTACTCTTTTTGCTACTGAACTGACCCATGGATGCATCTATGTTTTGCCACTTTACCATCCACTGCCATAGAAACAGGACTTCCTCCACTTTCTTAGGAGCCTAAAGGAGACCACTTCCTGGAAGTTTTAACAGTGAGCCCAAAATTTCTTTTTCTTTTTTTTTCTAAACATATGTCATCCCCTAATTCATACCCATTCCTTCTCTGCACTACTCCATATAAGTCTTCCTCTCTTATGTGTATTTATGACTTTTGAGTATGTGAAATGACATTTTCAGCCTTAGCTACATTTTATCTAATCTGCAGTGACCACCCTCTTTAAATTTTCTCATAAATTAATCCTGTCATCTTTCAAACCTTCTATGAATTATTAACTATTCATTGGGCCAGCAATGAGTAAGAAAGAATGACTGTACTCTTCTGCTTGTCCATTCATAGCATCTGATGAAGAAGACTGTAGCCTACGAAAGCTCATATTTCTCTCAACAAATTAGTCTACCAGGTGCCACCAAAGTTTAGACAAACACAGCTAACTACCTCCCTGTACTCCTCTGGTTATGGCATTTATCTGACAGATCATGGTCTCTCCTCCAAGAACTTTTATTTTATACAAAGTGGAATAGCATCACAACAGAGTGGAAACAAAGCTGTGAATAGCCTATAGACTAGTAATTGCACTGCTTTTTTGAGAGAGATCCACAATGTTTGTCCTACCCCTACTTGTGCATTAAAACTCAGGGATTCCTAACAGGGAATATATTTTACATTTCCCAAACAATAAGGGCCAATTTGTGAATTATTTGCCCCATTTGTGAGTGTCACGGGGCGCGACGCTAGGAGCAGCCATGTACTTCTCCTAACGCCCCTACCGTGCCAAGTGACTATAAAACGCACCCTCGTTTTCGCCTGCCACGTCTTTGCTGGTAATATTGTAAAAGGGAGGCTGCCTTTTTCTGTCCTCCTTGGCACGGTTCCCAGGCATACTCCTGCCTGTACCCCGTCCAGTGATAATTCTGGGCACTCCCGCCACAGGGCTATACGTGGCTCCTACCACCCCTAATACCACGTCCCAAACCTCTCAGATGTCCTGGACATTGTTGAGTCAGTTATTAGCGCTCGCCCTCTCCTGGGGCTTCTCTCTGTGTGTGCTCGCCCTCTCCTGAGGCTTCTCTCAGTGTGCGCTTGCCCTCTCCTGGGGCTCCTCACAATGCGCTTCCTCACAATGCGCTCGCCCTCTCCTGGGGCTTCTCAGTGTGCTTGCCCTCTCCAGGCTCCTCACAATGCGCTCGCCCTCTCCTGGGGCTCCTCACCATGCACTCGCCCTCTCCTGGGACCTCTCACCGTGCGCTCGCCCTCTCCTGGGACCTCTCACCGTGCGCTCGCCCTCTCCGGGGCTTCTCAGTGTGTGCTCACCCTCTCCTGGGGCCTCTCAGTGTGCGCTCGCCCTCTCCTGGGGCCTCTCAGTGTGCGCTCACCTCTACAGGAGCGCCCGCCCCTGGGGCTCGTCTCTATAGGATCATCCTACCCTGGGCTTCTATTCTTGTGTGCCCACCCTGGGGCATAACACGAGCACCCTCCGGGCTTCTTCCGGTGCCCACTCTGGGGCTCCTCACCATTGGGGCTCAGATGGCCATAGCCGTACTTGGCCCCTAAATCCACCGTGCCCCTTTCACCGGGCTGGGGTCAGTGCCCCCTGAACGTTGTGCCCTCCTTGGGCTTCTTGCCTGTACGCCCCTCCCTGGGGCTGTGCCGCACTAGGGCTTTTCTCTGTGCTTGAGGCTCAGGTGGCTGTAGCTGTGCCTGGCCCCCCCCCCCAATGCACTGTGCCCCTCCTCAGGGCTGGGGCAGTGCACCCCTAACTGCGGTGCCCTCACAGGCACCAGGGTCCCCACTGCTGTGGAGCCCCTCTGAGGCTTCCTCCAATGCCTATTAGCCTCACCCGGTCCTCCGGTATAATATTAAAGCAAAACCCTAAGCCAATTGGCTGTAACACAAAAAACCAAGCCTCCTGGCTGAAACACATGCTCTAGCCCTCTGGCTAAACCTCACTCAAACCCCTCCCCAGGGTTTCTCCTCACCCGGGAGCTGTTTCAGGCCCTTGGGCATCTATAGACTGCAATGTTTCAACAGAGCTCCTGCTCCATCAGCTACCAGAGGAGAACTGCTTGCTTGGCCTCAGCCTAGGCTGTTTATATAGGCCAGGCCCTGCCCCCTTCCGGTCAGCTGACCGACTGCGGTTACCCCGGCAACCAGCACCTGTATCTCTTCCTAGGAGCAGGGCACCAAAGTGTCCCTGCGACAGTGAGCAGTAACTCATAATTCAATGAGGCATCACTCATGAGTAAGAGCTCACCCGGGAGACTAAAGGGGTGAAAATATGGCCCCAAACATCAGTAACACAAGATTTTTAGAAGTGGTTAGGGATTTTAGACATTCCATGAGAGATGCATTAAAGAGACCCTGATTTTTCACACAGTTTCACGGTCTGTATTTTCTGAAAATAAGGGTCTTTAGGCCACTTGAAGCTGAGCCCTCAAAAATGGGTGCACCTGAAAAAATTATTAGATACCTTTAAAAGTATTTAAAAAATAATTCTGTCAATACCCTGAAAATCAGACTTCTCAAGGAGTGAAACTGGACCCTGTTGCACAGTAATTCTCCAGCGTTGACAGCAGTTATTAGCCTACAGAGAAACACCTGCTTGTGCCACACATTCTTCTTAATTTGAACCCCTAACTAAATCAAACACAAATGAAAATTTAAAGGAAAGTGGTTTCCACAGGAAAATTAGAAAAGCATTAGGGAAGTTACACTATATTGCAGTTCACAAATACTGCTACAATTCTTATTGGCAATAACTATACTATTCAGGAAATAATAGGCCAGGAGAACAGTTTAGGAAGGATTCAAGATAAGAATTACTTTTCTTTCTTTCTTTCTTAAATATTTTATACAACTTGTACCACTTGTTAGCTGTGTCTGTTGTTTAATTGCCACAAACCTAAGAGTTAATAAAAAGGTCCTCATAATTGATAACACAATAAAGTTTTATGATCCTATAATATAAACAGAGACACTTCAATGCACTGCTGTTGAAAATAATATAATTGTATCACACCAACCATTTTACGGTGCTTTTTGTGGTTGCAGACACCCAAAATAGGTAGATGGAGTTTTGTGCTTTTATTTCAGTTGTACATAAAGTCTGATACACAATTCAATGTTTCATCCATAAGAACAATCAGTCACCAAGAGATTCAAGATTCTTCCGTGGATGTACCAAAGCAAGCACCGGTGAAAAAGAAATCTTTGCTGATATGTACTCTCATCTAACTGCTGTATTTTTGCTGTTACAAAAGCACAGCATGGCACCCTAGTCTGTAAAATTATTTTTATTTTCATTTTAAAAAAAATCAATGATGAAATAAGAATTGGCTCAATTAATGTGTAACAACAGTAGGGTTTTGTCCAATGAGAATGTTTCATCACTGGCTAAACACTTCTCTATGCTGAACCAAAAGTAAAATAAAATAATACCTAAGCAGCAAAAATACCTAAATATATCTCAGTCATCAAATACAAATCAATACTTTCTTAAACCTGGTAAAGGCAAAAATATTTGCTTGCCGCTTGTCCATTAGAAATGCATTGCTTACGTGAAGATCATTTCCATAGCTCTTTTATTTCTTCACCAGTGTACTACAGGGTTAACTCTATTTCTATCTATTTCCATCACATCTGGGCATTCTTAATCTGAGCTGCACATTTTCAATAATCAAAACCTAAGGTGTAAAGAGACACTGCACAGAGTTTTTATGATTTGTAATAAATTGAACTGTGGATCAATTAATTGCCCGGGTTGCCCAGGTAACTCATCAGGTTTAGGAGTTTATAATTAGAAACATATTTTAGCATAATTATCTTCCTTGGTGGTTGTACTGAGGCAAACTATTCCTATTTATCTTCAAACACAGCATCAGGAGCCAAACATCAATATTTAACTTTGATGTCTAAAAAGCCCAGAAAACCATAGGCTTTGAACCTTGGAGATTTTGTCAGGACATGGCCTCAAAAAGGTTGCCTTTTCAAGCAATTAGATGCAGTTTGGTTGAAATGTTGACAAATCTAGTTCTTAAAACGTATGTATTCTGAAGTCAGGTGTACTTGCCTTTTAAATTTGTACAGGATGAAAGCACCAACTACAACGAGACAGATGACAAAGAGCACTATGATAGCCCAGTATCCACCACCTCCTCCAATCCTCTGAGAATCTGAAATGAGAAATATATAGTGGAAAAGCTTAGTAAATCTGGTCTGCAACTAATTACCACCCTGAATTTGCTTCCCTATTGAATCGCTTAAGTCAAAATCACTAGATTTTTCTTTTATAGCTTCTTCTCTTCATTCCAAATGTAGGTTCTTCAAAGAAGCAGCAACATATATCAGCTAGATGGCAGATCCATGGAAGCACAGAAAATGCATTGCAATGAAATAACAATATTACTCTGAGTGATGATTTTTCAAGAACCTCAAAAGGTACTGTAGGCATTATTCAATCAACATTCATATTGCCATTTTATATGATATATAAATATTACATGTACATTTTAAAGATGGGGAACCTGATGCACAAAAAGGTTAACTGTTTTCTCAATATCACACAGGGCAGTGACTGGAATGGAACCTGGGACTTCTCAGTTCTCATACCCTGCTTTTGCCAACATGAAACATTGGCTTTTGAAGCAAATGATTTCTATAATAACTCTCAGACTAGATATTACAGTGACAGAGGCCAGGATATGGAGAGCATAAGTATTACTTCTTCTCTGAGATTTAATTTGGCAATATATAATTTAAATCACTATTTATGGAAGTGTTAACGTGGCACAATGCACCATGCTCTGTCTGCCGGCTTGGTATCATTGAGTAACAAGCCAAATAGACATCATGGAAAATGATATTCATGCAAAAACAAAGTTGCTTTGACATGGTAAGAAACAGCTTGAGTTGGAGTTGCCCTTCATATGTAAAATGTGTACATTGAATGGATATTTCCTTCTAGTAGGTACTAGTATTATTGTACCAAGCATTGGCAAGACGACAGTTAGAATACCAGGTGCAATTCTGGTCACCAAAAAAAAAAGAGAGAGAGACAGTTAGCCATCTTAGTCTGAAGTCAGGCAGAAGGCAAGGTAGTGGTGTACCTTATAGACTAACTGAATCAGAAATGTATAGGCTTTCATGAGCCACAGCTCACTTTTCATGAATGCTTACACATCTCTGATTCAGTTAGTCTGCGAGGCACACCACTACCTTGCCTCCTGCCTAACATTAAAAATAGATGGACTGAAACTGAAACTGGCTCAAAGATAGCTAAGGGAACAGAGATCTTTTCCTCTGAATGGAGTTTTAATTCGTTTGTCTTGTTTAGCTTAGTGAATGAGATTGAGAGAGTATATGGTGAAACTTTACAAGTACAATCTTTACAAGCTGGGAGGGAAAAGAGCTTTCTACATTGAAAACCAAGGTCAAATGCCTACAAACCAGCTTTAGAGAAATTTGAACTAGAAATCAGAAGATTTCTAATTATCAAAGAAACAAAGTTTGGGAATAGTCTTCTGAGTCAAGTAGTCGGGGAAAGAACCTGAATTCCTGTAAGACTGAACTGAATACATTTATGGAAGGGATGATATGACAGAATCTTATCACCGCGTTCTGGATAAGCGGTCTGTGTATATGCGTTATGTGGAACTGTATATTTGCAGTCTCCATTTTGGAGCGTGGTAGGTGCCTGGCAATCCCATGTTACAGGGCTTCTGCTGGTTTTTAGAAAAAAAAGTGCTTAGAGAAAAAAAAAACCTGTTTTCCCCTAGATCAGACTGGCACAGACCACAGGAGATGGTTGTCTTCCTCTGTAGCATTAGACAGGGCACTACTTCCCTGTCATTAGGGTAGCAGTGGCAGTTCATTGGCAGTGCTATTGTCACTTCTGCGCTTGCCTATGGGCATGTGATATGTGTTCATGTGATTTTATTGTGCCTTGTAGTTGCGTGTTAGGATCTGAAGTGGGGATTTTGAGATTGGTTAAAAAATTTCCTACAAACACTGGGGACTGGATTTGATGGCCCAGGAGGGTCCTTTTAGCCTTGTGTTCAGAAATCAAATCCACACACAATTGCAAGATACTTTTCAGTCTGTTCCTAATTAGATCTCTGTTTTTGTAGACTTAAATGCAGCCAGGAACTCAGATATCTGAGAGTCCAAACTGTGCATAACCATACGTAGTTGGCCAATTTTTGATTATCTGTCAAAATCTGGCGTACAATGAAAAGAATGAAAGCAATAAGGGAAAATACTTTCAATCTTCTCACAGGGTACCAAAAAGAATAAAACAATGAAACATAATGGATAGTATCATTTACATTAGTGTATACCAGGAAAAAGCTATTATTTCTCAGGAGAGTTTCTACTTAGTTCTATAGAAATCTAACAACTATCTACAGACTGAATTGTTTTGGTGTTTTGTCTGTTAATTTTTTACCTGAATCGGAGTCATCTAAAGTCACTAAGACCCAATATCCCCCTCTCAGGAAGAAACTGATGTTGTGTGCATTCAAGGCTTGTTTTAGAGCAGCTATTCTCTGAAAACACAAAAAAGATAATGTCAAGCATCTTTCACTCAGTTCAACCTTTAGGAATTCAATGCACTAAACGAAAAAGCCTCTCAGTTCATGGTATTGTGAGAAACACACAGGACATATGTCAACGGTTTTTATGAGTTGCATGTAACCTTCAGGAAATTCCAGATTAAAAAAAAATATATAATCACTCAAATCTCTGCAACCCATGAATGTTCAAAAATGGCAAATGTTTATAGCCAAATCTTTCTTTCTCCTTATAGACCTTGTCTTTATCCCACAATATTTGATAAAAACCATCTCATTTACAGGTATTATTGGATTATTATTGAATTATACCTTGTGCAATGAATAAACCCTTTTAAAAACTCTTTCCAGTATCCTTATTCTGATCATCATATCAAAAGACAAGCTCTCTGTCACTTTATATTCCTTACCTATAAGAAATAATGTGCTTGAGAATAAATTGCATCTCATGATTTGCCTCTCTTGCTCAGCTGTAAGAGGATAGATGCCATTTTGTATCTTGTTTTTACAAAGATTTTGTAGAAACAGTAATTTCCACACAAAAATGGTCACAATTTCTCCTTTTTTTCTAATGTGGGCATAGCGTTCTAATATATGGTCTCTCGCACTGCTATAGAGGAACAAAATTAAAGGTGACACCACACTGCACCCCTATATAACCTTTAAATTGTAAGGGCTTGCCAGAGCTGCATGTAATAATTAATAACCTTATAAAAGACTCTCACTTAGGTTTTCATAGTTATAAAGACACGCTTCTAATGTGGCATCCTGTGGGAAATGGTATCCTAAATTATAAAATGGAATCTATAAAACTAGTCTTGTAGTTCTTTAGAATTACTTGTATTGAAGCAAAAGAAAGCAAAAAAACAAACCGTATGTCATGTAGGGTGGGATGCTGTAGTTGTTTAAGCTTGGCTCATGCAAACAAAACAAGCTTTACCACAATCGAATGCAAAGTTACACACCTGAGAACAAGGCATGCAGGCCATAGCTACAGAATGGACATCAGTATCTCTGAAAAGAATGTAGGGGTTACAGCAGACCAGTAACTCAATGTGAGCTTGCAGAGAGAGGCTGTAATAAGTAGGAGTTGGGAGATGATAAGTTTTATAATGAGGGACTCAGTTCATTTAGTTTATAAAAAAAGATTTAGAGGTGACTTGATTATAGGGAGAACATACCTGGATTTGCAAATCTAAGAGAAAGGTATTGGTATAAAAATAAAACTCAGTGGCCTGTAATACACATACAGCAAGTCAGACCATCTGTTTTAAGGCTACTTTCTGGTATTATACTTCATGAATCTTGAAACTATTTCAGTTGTGATGCTGTAATTAATTGTTGTTGATGCCAATACATTGTCATAGCTATTCCTCATAGCAGACTTTTGACCGAGTAGTGGAATCAGTAGTTGTTCATGTCAATCAGTTGGATAAAAAAAGATTTTAAAAACTGGAATTTTCTGGGAGAGTCTTCTGGAAAATCACTGAGGTCTATTAAACCCTCATATTGTGTAATACTTTATTCCACCAAGGGTTAATCTATCCACCTGAGGTGTGAGATACTACTCCACAAATCTACTATTATCTGCATTTAGCATTTTGTAAAGTTGAGCCATGTATAGTAAAAGAGAATGCAGCCTCTCTTTTTTCATTCAAGGAGCCTATATCTGACCTCCAATTTACTGGTTTCACAAGTAAGTCTCAAATTACATATGCATTCTAGATTTTATCAAACTTTTTGACATCTTAATTTAAAAAAAAATGTTCTGCATAAATACATGTGCACATACCAATCATTTAAGTAGTCTATACAGCACAAAGATAGAGACGTAACCTTACAGAACCAATGGCTGGAGTGAAAACTCTACTCTGGCTATGACCACAACCATATAGCCTTATACACCTGAAAACAGCTGGACTGCTATGATGGAGAAATTGCAAAGTATACTTCTTCTAACTGGGTGCAACTATACATGCACTTTACTGAAGAGTTGACTAATTAATTCCACAGTAAGGCATCACAGTCTACATGTGCACAGGTATTAGGGTGCAGTAAATTAATTAACCCTGGTGTAGGATAGTACTGTTGGGGACAGTACTATCCTATGGAGGAGTAATTTTGTATGCTGAAATGCATGTGTAGACAGTGACGGGGGCTGGCTGGGGCATGAGGGTGCTAAAGTGCAGGGGCTGCCCACCACCTAGCCCCACACTTTAGCACCCACATGCCTCAGCCAGCCCCTCTGCCGCACACTGCTGCCACAAAGAGCCTGGGGCTGACCCCCCAGGTCCCTTCCCAGCCCAAGGCTACTCCACCCTGGCTCAAAGTGCTGTGGTCTCAGGCACCCATGTAGACATTGAGCAGCTGACTCCAGTGCAAACTGTGATGGAGTTTATTTTGTTGCCTTGGCACATGTAGATGCAACCACCATGTAGCACTCTAAGAGATTATGCCTGCTACTATTCTCAGTATGCCCAATGCATCGAAATACAGCTAATCTGCACAATAACATTACGCTGTCAGCAACGTACAACTACTTTACAGAATGTGTAGCTACTTCCACATATGTCCTTTTCATCTTGATTTGGCATACTTCTGGTCTTCTTCCAGTTCCAAAAACCATAAGTGGCATCTTAGCTGTGGATATTTATCACAGAAATTATATTCTATTAACACAGCTATTTTTTCTATACCTTCCAAGTGTTTGGAACATCCCACAGTTATTAGCAGGACAGGACAGCCCTTCATTTTTTCCTTCTTGGAGTGCATAGAAGGGTGGTTCAGATATGAACATGAAAAAACGAAGGCAGCACTGAATGTAATTTATGATATTTTTCAAGCTGCCTGGAAGCATGCCATTAATAATAGTTGAGATTTGAAGGGAACTAATCTACATAATCTTTTGTATTAGAAAAAAGGCAGCAGAACCTAAGGGCCTGTCTTTATTGGTTACTTTAAATTATTAAAGAGGTTCATTTGCTACAAGCTTGGAACAGTAAGATAATATTTCTTTTTAAAATAGCAATTTTTTCTTAAAAAGAATAAAAATGTTAAGAGTTTAAATGTGATGATGTAGCAAACAATTGTTCAAAAAAAACTCATAGAAAGTACTTCTTAAAATAAAATAATTTCTGCAAATCAACTATGACTTCAACCTTCACTATGAAATTTACTATGATTACAAGGGAAGGCTAAGGTTGGGGAGTTTGTTGTTTATTCGGTTTTTACATCAGGACCAGTCTCTCAATAATACTGTTATCCAATTTCCTTATATATTTCAGAGATACGTTTAAAGTCAGCTCCTCAGGTACTGTGACACTAGGGTTGGGATGCTGGGCAATTGACTGGTCAAATAATGCCAACTGACTGGTTACTTGACTGCCTATCAAAATTGTTATATATTCCATCAACCCAAACAATATCTCATATAGCAAGAGGCCTACCTTTTCCATTGCATCACAGTATCATCTGTAAGCAGGGCAGGAGTGAGTGCTCCTTGCCCTCAGTTCTTCAGGAGTCACACTCCATTTAGGAGCTGGCACCCCCTGCCTTGCTCCTCTCTACTGAGTTCTCCCAGTCTCCTTACACTACATGGTGCTCCAGGAGCTACTCTGAGCTCAGGTAAGAACCAAAATTGGCAGCTCAGAAAAAAGTTTGTCCTACTGGGCATCCTCCATGACTGCAGGCATCTCCAAAATGCTTGATGAGTTGGCCTGCTGACTACTTAGCATGCCTTCATTTTAAAAAATGATTTTGTCTTTTATAGTTGTTACTGTAAAAGTGTTTCATTTCTGTTTAATATCATGGGGGGGAGGGGGTTATTTTGTAACTGTTCAAGCCCACCGTGGTGCTTCAGAATAAAACCAAAGGAAAGGAAAAACTGTTTGGCCTTGAATATCATTGACATTTACATTTACCAAACATTAATAGTTATAAAAATTCATTATATTTAATTTCATTGTTTCACAAGAACAAGTATTCTTTGTAAAAAGCATAAGTACTACTGAAGATTAAAGTATCTCTTGATATTGTTCAAATAAATTTATGTTTAAAATACTTTATCATTATTTAGCGATATTTGATTAGTCCATTGACCGAGTATTTTTGGAGTGGTCAAATACCCAACCTTAATTGACACAGCAGCAAAATCCCATGCTATCCATAGAGCTCTGTCCTACTTATCCATGGATCACACTGATTAGGTGAATACCAGGACCTATCACAGCCCTCCTTTTGGCAACGTTTTCTATTCAAAATGAATCATTCCTTGAATAATGATCTTTTTAACATAATAATGCCTGAAACTCAAGAAACTGGTGCACACCTGAGACATTTTTTATGTTATAGAAAAAAGGGCCTAGTGTCATACATTATAAATTATAGGCAAAGTCATGCAGAGATACAGTGCTCTTCTAGGGGTCTTTTCTGACTCAAGGGATTTCACTTGATGTGAGCAGTAAAGCTCAGCACTGAGCCTCGGCTAGCTGCACTCACCTGTTGCCTCAGAACTTGAAAAAGCTGTCTGCTCATTAGAACAGAAACAATTTGTGGGATAGCACTATGATGCACCTCACATAACAGTTCAAACCTTAAGGTCATATTGCATTCAGATCTGCATGATTCTGAATACAGTAAAAATTATTCTTCTCCTTCATATTTTAAATATGGCATTCCCACAGTGATTACTACTCTAGGTTAGAGGACTTTTATCTACTGAATCTTTACAATTCAGCATGTTATAATTGTGGTTTCTGATTAAAAATAGATAAATATTAACTATCCCTTGCTGGTACCAATAACAGATGGATTGTGCAAATGGCACAAAGCCCAGAGGGCAGGATGGAATAAAGTTGATCTGTCCCTGAAAGGGCTTGTAGAGGAATTAAGAGGCTACAGCATACTCTCCACTATATTCCAGTACATCGTGGGCTGTCACCAAGTGTAAGGCATAGCTGTTCTCTCCCTATTCCCTTTAGAACAGGCTTAATTCCAAGGTATACAGGGAAGGTACAGGTACTGTACTCCACCAAGCACAGGGACTGCAATCATTGCTAGCCTTTTATGTGGCTCATCAAAGTAGTGGAGTGGGTGGTGCTTGGATGCTTAAAAAACAAATCCAGATCTCAGTGAAGCCAACTGGAGTATTGCCATTGACTTCAGTGGGATGGAGATTTAAAACGAACACATATTGTTCTGGTTACCTTGTCAGTAGTTACACTTCTCTTCAGCTTTGGTTGGTTTGCTGGTAGAAGCACATGCAAGTCAGCAGTTGTGGGCAGGCCAGGTTTCACCACAGTTACAAGACTTTCTTCTGGTATATTGGTTTCCTGCAGAGACAAAACCATGAGTAAATATGGTCTCTATGCTAACTTTATCCTAACAATATTACTGTAAAACTACTGTATACAAACATGGCATAAAATAGATAGCTACTTCTTCGTAGGTCTTTTCAAACTGGGCCTTAGCATTCACATCTTTGAAGTGTAGATAGAATTCAATATAACTAATTGGAACTAATTGGAAGTTGCATACTGCCCTAAGTTAATTAATCAAGGTGCTAAGAGCCTTGAAGATGAGAAATGCTAAGTATTACCATCCCAACAAAGAAACCTAATGGCATTATGGCCTCAATGGAGGACAGTTTTATCATAACACTACAATGAGTATGTAATTTTTCAGGGTGAAAGATTTCAAAAGTCAAATGGGTTTTAGGTTTCTAACTGTTCATGCTGTTTCTGAAATTGAGACTTTTGTAAATGTTACTCCATTAGCTGAAGGCTTCACAAGATTTCCATTTAAGAAGGTCCATTAATAGCATCGAATGAAGAAGTTTGTTGCCTACAAAAGTTCATGCGCCTCTGAGCCAGCTAGCCTTGAGATGCCATTCTGGCTACCTTCTAATAGGTTTTATTTAAAAGCACCGGGGAATTCTGGGAGTTCCCAGGTCAAACGCTCATGCAAATTCTATCTGAATGTAAATAAAAGTGCTTGTATTGTATATTTTTAAAAGTTAAAATGTGGTGCCAACATGACTAGAATGTAAGAAACCTGTCTAGAAAATGTTGGTCATGGAAAGTATAACCTGGAGAGGAATTTCAATAGGTTTGGCATTTATGGAGGTCTAACCAAGGAAGAAACAGATTAATATATAAAAATAAAATAATCCCAATCTCATTTACATTGGTGCAAATCCAGAGTAAAACCAATGACATCACTGGAAGGTTTAGGCAATAAGGCTTTTTGTTATCTTAGTGATAAATATTCTATAAGTATTTACCTCTCAGGTTTGAATGTACTGGTGATCAGCTCAACAGAAATCAATATCTGTTTATTACATCTTTGGCAGTGCTTGTACCTAAACAATATAACAGTATAGTCTAGTGCTCCCTGTCTCTGTGGAATTATGCTTTAGGCTATGTGTAGACAAAATGAGGGGTGTGTGTGCATGACACTTTAAAGCAGGCTAAATGATTTAATGGTGTTGGGGTTTACATGCCTCGGCGGCATGTTGAGTATTAATTCCAGCTGCTGTAGAAAATTCAGCAACGTAATGCACCTTAAATGACTTGGGATGCAGCACCTCCTTGGAAGAGTTTTAGTTTGCTACCTCTACAGCCGTGGAGCAAAGCACTGGGCTCCGTGCAGCTCAGGGGCTCTGTAGGAAGCACTGCAGGCAGCCTGGCAGCAGCCCAGGAAAGCAGTGAGCCTGGTCTCCCCCCTGCCCCGGAGCCTGCCTGCCTGAGTTGCGTGGGGCCCGGTGCTTCCCTCTGCAGCTGTGGTGGCCCCCAGGACCACCCAGGCCAGGTGCCTGCGGGCAGGTGCTGCTGCCGCGGAGGGAATGCCCCCTGTCCTCCCCCCCACACACATACAGTCCAGGGACCGCTTTGCCCGCCAGCAGCTTGCCCTGCCCTCCCTGCCGGAGAGGCAGGTAAGTCAGGGGTGTGTGTGCATGACATGGGAGTTTAATCAGCCCTAAATTGCAGTTTTTTTTAAAACCCACCACTTCAATTTAGGGCCCCCGTTTCATCTACACATGCCCTTATTCATTACACAATGCAGTTACTTAAGTAAATGTTTAACTTAGTGAATTTGGAAGATATGTCCATGTTCAAATTTACAGCCTATTTGTATCTGTGATCTAAGTTAAATGCACAAGACTATAAATTCATTTAGTTGTACATAATCAAAGGCTAAATCCTGTATATTATAGTACCCTTGGTTTAACCCCTAACTCCATCCCTTTCAAGTTAAGTGTTCTTCTCACAAAATCAGCAGTATTTACATATCTGTCCATCTGGCCCCCCAAACCCTGAGAGCATTAATTACCAATTAGGATGTATTAGAATCAAACTTGCAATGCTGAAATATTGTTTTATGTGGTCTGGATACACAAGTAACTCTAGTCTCAAACTGCTTCTAAATGTCGCCCTGGGGTTTCTGTTTATTGTTCTACTCTGCTTGCTGGGTTGTTTGCTTTTTTTCTAAATGGAAAGGCATTAACTTAACCTTCAAGCTTTCTGACAGCAGAGGCCGCAGTATGTAAGCAACCTAAGAAAGTACCTTTGCAAGAAGTCGTGTCACTACCCGACCTATGTCTTCCCTCCACTCCGGTATGTTGGGGTTGTACATGTCCAGATGTTTAGTAAACTTTAGAGAAAGAATATGAAAATGATCTAGAAACAGGAAAGAAAGATTGTTTTTAACAATTAATAAATAGGACTGAGAAACAGGACTGAGAAAAACTGCTTTTGCAGAAAAAGTAACATTAAAAAGACTGATCTCAGAAATATTTTATTATTTGTGCTGTACGCATACTTAGAATTTCCACTGTGTTAAATGCTGGATCCATATAGACCAAAATGGCAGCTCCTATTTTAATGAATGTACAATATTTAACATACTAGCAGCAGTTGCTTCCTTTAGCAACCTCCTTCTGTATTTCTTCCATCTATGTCTAAATGTTTCTAAACACTGAGGAAAAGCAACAGGAAAAATAAAGAAAACACATTAGTATGCTCCAGTGGGCCTACACTGCCACACATACCACAGTGTTTTGCTTTCAGTGGATCTGTGCCAATGAATTTAATTCTCAAGGGGCATCTACACAAGATGTTTTACTGTGCAACAGACTAATTGACTGCATGGTAAACTGCCACCGTTTACATGTGCAGATGCTTACTGCGCAGTAAATTGGTCAACTGTGTGGCTAATTTGCTACTTGCAGATTCAGGTTTGCCCAAGCTTCTACTTCTTGTAAGCTTCCTTTTTGTATTTAACCTTACCGAAGAGTTCTCTGCTGAGCCAAGCTAGTTGTTTGCCACATTTGCTATTCTTCTTGCACACCAGGATGGTTTGTTCCTGTGTCTCAGTAAGGTTCCCTTAAAACCTTACTCATCAGAGCCCAGATGGATAGCAGGCAGCTCCCGGGGAGCTGATTGTGGAGCTGGGGACGGGAGCTCCCTGCACGGGAAGAGTTCTGCGCCCAGTCCAGAACTGGCTGGGACTTGCCCCAGAACAGGACAGTTCCTGGCCAGGCCCATACTGTGCATGGAAGTCTGCACATGCAGCCCAGAGCTATTTTGAGGCAGGTCTCCAGGGAGCCAGACTGTACTTGTAGACTTCCCTGCACAGCCTGGGGCTGGCTGGAAACAGTCGTGTTCTGGGACAGGTCTGGCAAGCTCCAGGCTATGCGTGGAAGCCCCACTGGCATAGGGCTTTTCCCTATGTGCATGTGGCATGCGGCAGCTGTCTCCTGGCCCATGCTCATCAGTACCTCTCCCGACATGTATGGGGCCAGGAGACAGCTGCTGCTGCAGCTGGCAGAGCTCTCCTGTCCCCGTGCCCCCAGCCAGCCCTCAGCTAGCACCCAAGGGGAGCCTGGAGCTCCCCCTGGCTGCTACAGGGGGCAGAGTAGGGAGGGAGCAAATCTATATGTAGATGTACTCCCTGGTAGATGTTCTCCCCCATAGGCTTACTGCACAGTATTTTTACTGCATAAAGGCTATGTTTACATGAGATGCTAACTGTGCAGTAGCGCCAATGCACAGCTTTTTTGCGATGCTACTGTGCAGCAGCCTGATACTATTGTGCAGTAGCGTTGCATCACTGTTGCTGACACATGACACTTCTGCACAGTAGTCACGTCATACCGTGCAGTCAGTGTCTCATGTAGATGTGTCCAGTAAGTCTACTTCGAATTAATAGTACATGTAGATGCGCCCACTGAATCACAAACATATAGTTCTTGCCCACTGCATATTCCCTTTATTCACAGAAAATGAATATTTTTGTTTCAATAATCTACCTATGAAAATGAGAATACAAATGACATGCCAAAAGCTAACCACTGCTGTGTTTAAAAGAAGAAATATGATACATTCACAACAGTTTTATTGATATAATCTAAAATATCTGAAATACTAGAAATGGACAATTCCTTGTTTAAGAAGACTGTATATATGTTTTCCTTTGTCCTCATATAATCTTTGGAAGAACACCTGAAAAAGTTAATGCAAAGAAGAGAACAAGATCCTTTGGAATGTATGAAAGATTCAAACTTGACCTCTATAGCAACTTAGACAAAATCATAGTTTTCCTAAGTATTTTGTTATTTCCTTCACCACCAATACCTTTTTAGTCTCTCACACTGCCTTTGCCAATACTAACAGTAGATTCAGTAGCAGAAAATCAGAGGCATGATATGCTTACAAGCCAGTCTAATAGGGTTATAGTTTTAAAGCTTTCTGTAAAGACTTTATTACAAGCATTCATGAAATCCATTTATTATAGGGCAGAAGTTAAGAGGTTTGCAAAAGAACTAACTTGAATATTAGTGTTTGCCATTATTTTATATTATAAAAGCACACTAAAATCAAAATGATAGAGTCCACTTGAAATGTTAGGACTAGAGGTATATACGAGGGTTTTTAAATCCCCATATTTGCCAACTGATGCAAACTACAGTGGAAAAAAAGGCTATTCCATTTCCTGTATTTGACTTCACATATAGGGCAAAGAAAAAGTGTAGCTCCCCACTGTAACTGAGAACACTTTGTAGGAAGCATTCCAAGTTGCAACGATCCCCTGGACCAAACAGAAGTTCACTGCTGGTTCCAGGAGGGAGGGGAATCTAGTTGCTAGCTGCAGCCTGTAGCCAGTTCCCCCTAGCAATGGCCCCTCCTACCTGTGAGGCTGCAAAGTTTTCAGAATGGGAGAGAGGGAAAAGGAGCAAAGGAAGTTCAGTCTGGGGGTTTTTGAACCCCCACTGGAGGGTGGGGTAGGTGAACTGGAGCTCCCAGCACCTCAGGGGGCTCCAATACACCCAACCCCACCCTCCACTGGGGGCTCAAAACCCCCCAGACTGAACTCCCTCTGCTCCCTTTCCCCTCCGCTTCCCCCCGACCCCTCCGCCAGTTCTGAAAATAGTGACAGGCTAGCAAGCAGGCAGACAGAAATTATAAAAGACACTATGTTTTGAAACGTCTTCATCTGACCCCTCATGCACTGAGGGTTCAGATTTTCACCCGATTGGCCATTTTTTAAGCTTTCTTCAGCTGTGCACTTCTGTTTGGTCATGGCTATAAACTGCTTTCTGTGGCCAGACTGCGTGAAAATTGTCACTGTCTATGCCTATAAAAGCATAAATAATTTATCTGTCTACCTACATGTTTCAAAAAATATCCTGCCACATAAGCATGTTATAGGTCACAGCAAAACACATTCGGATACAAGAACTAAAGGGTCATTCAACTGTTTCAGAAGCACGTAGTCAATATGTTTTTATCTGGTTTGGTTTAGGCTGAGTAGATAAAAACTCCATTGAAATGTTCTTTCCCTAGATGAGGGATAGCCAACCTATAGCATGGATGACATAAGTGGCAGAGGCAGCCTCTTTGTGAGATGTGGCAGATATGAGAGGGGATAGGCAGCACAGTGCCTGGAAGATAGGGCAGGGAGCAGAAAGCACAGCATCAGATCAGGCAGGGAGCATACGGTGGGAACCAGAAAGCAAAGAGAGATGGGCAGGGAGCACAGAGCAAGGAGGAGAAAGCTGAGCAGCAGATCAGATAAGGAAACATGATGGGAGTGGCATATGGAGGGGGCACTAATTTGTTGCACGCTTGCCAAGAAAGATTGGCTCTCACTGTCTTAGATAATGCATTCCAGGATAAAACCAACAGAAGGATTCAAACAATTATATTTAAAAAAATTGTATAATATTCTACAGGGAAACTCCAAAATGCCACTTCATAATATTTAGTTACCTGTAAAGTTTTGGAACAACAATTTAGTGTATTCTGTAATTCTTTCTTAATGAAGATTTCTTTCTTTAATAAATTATTTAAGGGAATTTAGTGTATTCTATAATTCTTTCTTTCTTTTTTAATCTAAAAACAATTTAAGTATTCTGTAATGCATTCTTTAATGCCACTCTGTTCATTTCCATGGAATCAGGGACAATTTCAGTCTATTAAGTTTAGAAGTTTAGCACACCAGTATGTAAAATGTCACAATATACAGTTAAAGCTGTGTTAACTGGCATTTTAGTAACCAGCACACTCTACTAACCGGAATTTCTGGCTGGGTGGCAGGCCGGATGCGAAGGGACGGGGGGAGTTCACACATGGTGGTGGCAGCCACCACACTCCTCCTCGCCCCACTACCCCACTCTACGTCCAGCCAAAACCCCCTGCCTCAGGTAACTGGCATTTTTGGATTACTGGTACCCCCCATTCCCCACTCATGCCAAATAACAGAGCTTTTCCTGTATTCTGTTTTCCAAGGACTGTCCTAAAGTACACAGAAATATAATCAATAAACAAAACAATCCATAAGAAAGTAAAAATATCTCACCAAAAACTTGGACAACCTTTGAATCTTGAAGCATGGAGTTCCCACAGGAGGCTTGCACTGTAACTCTAACCTCACCTGTCTCAGCAAATTTGGTCATTAAAAAACTCTCCAAAGTAAGAAAAGGCTAAACAAAAAAAGAACACAATACAAAAGAAGAATTTGGGTAAGAATCAGGAGAGAAGCATGAGACAGAGACAGAACAGTCATTGAAATGTCTTGTCAGGAGCAACCAATCTATTGAATATTTTCCATGAAATGTATTAATCAATGTCAGCTCAATGTCCAACAAATCCATGAATTGCAATGTTCAGCTAACAGGGATCCTTGGAGTTATGGAGCTAAGGCCTACATTTTTAGACAATGGAAAAATCTTTCTTTTAAGATACCAGACAAGAGTATCAGGGTTTGAGTCAAAGCTGACTGAAATGAATGGCTCTGGGTCAGGCCTTCGCTGCATTGGGCTGATACCTCTAAACACTGAGGTTCAGACACATTGTCATCAACTACAGTCAAATTCATTTTGTAGTTTTACTTTTAACGCATGACTTGTAGTCACTTAAAAAGCATCCAGGGGCATTCTGTTTCTTAAAGAATCAGGTGCTGAATTCATATTTGACACACTGCAGGGCCACTATCCGGTCTCCACTTAAGAATCACCAAAGCATAGATTAATAGGCTGGTGCAGGCCAGGGGAACAGTGGAGTATTGATGTAATTGCAAAAAGAAATGTATTGTATTTGTCTCAACTATTTCTCCCTTGCCCAGGTCTCTTAGGGTGACATCAAGTTCTTTGCTGGTTGTCATTGTTTCTGGCACATACACACAAAGAGAGATGATGCGGTTATGCCACAGGGCCACCACAACTTTTTCTCCAAATGTGGTGAATTGTGATAAAATTCTAACTCCTCTAAAATAAATGGCCTAGAGATGTAGACCATTCTAACAGAGAAATTTCCTTTTTCACATAAGTATCAACAATTGGAAAGAAGGAAGAGGACTAAGATTTCTTAATGGAGTTAAGTAATGTTTAATAGAGGTATAACTGGCTGTTTAAAACAAAGGTATTCTATAAAATGTCACATCCACTACAACAAAATTCTCCTGAAAGGATAATTGTCTGATATAATCTTTATTGAAATGAGGCTGGAAAATAATATCAAATGAAAGCTTACACATACCTGAAGATTGTTTCCTATCCACCAGTAGAAGACTGTCAAATTAGGGTTCTTGGGCAATATGATAGCTGTCAGATTCACCTCCTGGTTTCTCCCAATGACTGGAACCACTTCTAGATGTAAAGCCTGCAGCAGAGCTGAACGGAGTGCCAAAAAGGCCATTAATCAAGAAGCCAGCAGTTTATCGAATGCTTGCAGTTTTTTATTTTGTTCACTAAGCCAGCAGCAGTCTCACCTGCACACAACAAGGTCCTCAACTTACCTTTCTCTCTCTCTGCATGCACCAGTGAGGAAAGCTGCGGGCATATCCTCATTTTAATCAAATAAAATATGTCACAAAGTAAAACCCATAGCAATGTGATTTATCAGTGTAGCTGCAGGAGTCTTTTTTGTGCATGTCTAATATTGCAGGTCATAAGCAAATTTAGCATTATTTTAAAAAAGGGAAAGGTAACAGATTATTTCTAAGGCATCAAAGGAAAAAAGCGGTGGAAATTCTACCATGCCTTTAAATTACAGCAGAAACTGAAAAGTTGAAAAGAATGATGCTGACTATTCATTTTTAATACAAAGCATCAGCAGTCAGTCAGGCTATCACCCTGTATAATTACCAATTAATGTGTGTGCTTTAAAATAACTATGTACGTTATAGAATAATTTATTTGAAAATCAAAATGGATTGCCCCTGTACATTAAAAATATGCCTTTAGCGTAAGTTTATTCCTGTCTGAACTGCTGCCTGAGAAGACTATAGCTACTCTTGTAAGTATTTGTGTGCAGTGTACAAAAAACCACAACATATTAAAACGGGGTTTTTTTGGTCCTTCATATTGTCAATAAGAAACACTCTATATAATAATGTTACTGAAAATATTTGTTTGTCTAGGGATAGGTACAGATGTTTAGGGAGGTTAGGGGGAGGTTATATTGCATTAAAAATGGCCAGCCAATCTAACTTAGTTTGCCCAGGTGCAGATCTTGTTCTTAGATCCCTGGTTAGATCAATCTAAGTGTGAACTGAACGGAAGTTCAGGAAAGTTCGATTGGTCTAAAAATGGCTGGCCCAATCTAAGTTAACTGTACCTTGGTGGTAGTCTAACCTAAATTGGGTCCAGTAATTGAACGTCTGTATAGTTTCCATGCAGCCCTGCTGGGAAAGCACGGCTGCTGGCTCCAGCCAGTGCTGCACTTTTCCTAGTGTCCTACCCCTGGGACTGGGGTATTTTTAGCCTCCCTGGCTCCTTGCCACACCTGCAGATGGACAAACCTCCCCACAGATCAACCAGCCCGCCAAACCTCCCATCCTGCAAGCCACTCCTGCTGCCAGTTTTACCAGCATTTGCTGGTGCCAGGAGATAAGGAAGTAAGTTGTGGTGTGGGGATGGATAGGCAGGATGGGGGAGAGTTGATTTGCTGGGGGAGGTGGGTCAGGGGACTACAAATTGTTCCTAGTCCTGCAGGGGAAGGGAGCAAGAGTCCTCACATCCCACCAAAGCCCCCTACAGAGCTGCCAGCCTCCCAATCCGCCTACCCCTACCCCCACTCAGATTTACTTTAATCAGACTCCCAGGACTAGTGAATGCTGGTAAAACCAGCCCCAGGAGCAGTTTGTGGGATATGGGGAAGTTCAGTAATACCAGGGTGGAGTGGAGTGGTGGTGGGAGCAGGGAGACTGGAGGGATTCTGGCAGGATTGGAGAGCCTCCCCAATCCCATCAACCCCTCCCCACCGTGGACCCTGCTAGGCCCCCTGATCCCACCAAACCCTCCCAGACCCCAGCAACCCCCCATGGGTCTTGCTAGCCCACCCCCAATCCCTCTAACCCCCTGCAGACTCTACTTGCCCCCTCCAATCCCGGCAAGCCCTTCCAGATCCCACCAACCCCCCCACAGATCCCACTAGCCCCTCAATACTCCCAAGTCCTCCCTGCCGCAGAACCTACTAGTCCCCCCAATCCTGCCAAACCCTACTGTATTTCACCTCCCCCCCATAGATGCCATTAGCCCCCCAGTCTCCTCAACCTTCCCTGCAGATCCCAATTGCCCTCCCCAGTTCCCTCCAAGCTGCACCGCTATCCCCTCCCTTCCCAACTTACCTTAGATTGGGTGGCCATTTCTAACTCAGTCTAACCTCCCACTAACCTTCCTGAATATCTGTACATCTGTATATCTATACCCTAGGAGGCATCATAGCTTGCTTCTCAGAAGTAACCAAAGATTGGAGGTTTATTTACTATAATATAATTATTAATATTGCTTAACTTATATTGCACCAATTATTCCAGGATACCAAAGCACTTTATAATCATCAATAGATTCCCAATTATATAATAGGAATAAATCCCACTCCATTATTGCTCATTCCACTCTAAATACCTCTCTGCCCATTCAAAGATTGTAGTTTCAATCAAAACTCAAGGACTCCACATATACAGATTATTGGTCCAAGACCTCTCTTGCATTCTGTCACCAGCTGCATCATTGCCCATTAAATGCCAGCTCACATGGGCTGGAAGATCTGTCTTCTCTGGGTGATACGTCCATATAGTATACACTCCCCTCTCCTCTAAAATGCCAGATATGATGTCATTTCATGTGGACATAAGATTCAACACTAGTACTCTACTCAATACTGGTAAGGCCTCACCTGGAGTACTGTGTCTAGTTTGGGCCCCACACTTCAAGAAGGACATGGAGGGTTTGGAAAGACTACAGCCCAGGGCAACAAAAATGATTACAGGCCTGGGATACAAGGCTTATAAAGAAAGGCTGAAAGAACTAGGGTTATTTAGCCTGGAGAATGGAAAACTGAGGGGGGATTTCATAACAGCCCTCAAATACCTGAAAGGTAGGGAACAGAACTAGGAGTAACAGACTCCAACTGAAGAAAGGCTGGAGATTAGAAGGAACTTTCTGACTATGAAGGTGGTCAAACATTAGACCAGGCTACCTAGAGAACTTGTGGAATCTTCATCCTTGGAAACTTTCAAAAGCAGTGTAGACAGACACTTGACTGCGGTGGTTGAGTTAGGGTTGATCCTACCTTGAGCAGGTGGCTGGATTAGATGACCTTGTGAGGTCCCTTCTAGCCCTGCTTTCCTAAGATCCTACAGTTCTCTATTTTTTTTCAACATTCTCTAAAAATTCAACTCTCTAAACCAGTTCATGGATTCAAGACAGACTGGGCACATCTACACGAGTGGTCCCATAGCTGCATGGTAATTTTTCACTGCTACTGCGCAGTAGTCTTGCCATCACCATTCATGTCTGGTGATGCTATGTCGTCATAGCAACAAGCTATGGCAACGGAGCATCACGTGTAGATGTACCCACTGAGAGCTTCAACAGTTTCTTTAAGAAACTGAAATAAAACACTCCCATAAGAGCTGAATATCATGCAGACAATTAAGAAATAGTAGCGGGAGTTAGTAAAATCCCTTCCACTTACTTACAGTTGGGCTTTTTTGTTTGTTTCCTTTTTTGACTACATGGATTAACACTTTCCGAAAGGATCATCTATAAAGTGAAGGAACCCTTTTCTGAACAAAAATTCTCTCAAAATTTAAAAAAAAGACAAATATTCAGATTAGGAAACAAGATTAAGCTTTTGGCTTTGATGTTATACTATATCTTGTTTTAGCTTACTCAGAAAAAATACCTTTAAGATATGATTTCACTCTTAAAGGGAATGCAACTTACTAAGATCTTTCTATGAGAACGGACAGCTGTTTCTTGGGATTTTGACTAGCCCTGAGTTTTATCATCATCCTTATGTAATAAAGATATATTTATTAATTAACTAGGATTTCTTTGGCTGAATCCTGACATCCCAGAAGAGATTAAGAACAGAATTGTACTTCTGATTTTACATAATAAGAACATTTATTGATAACCTGATCCACAAGAATTTTGTCTTTGCCACAATTTCAGTAATTTTCATTAAAAAAATACCTATACCAATCCACTCCCAAAATAGCTACTTTTACACCCAACCACTAAAATAGAAGCAGTTTCAGCATATGGAAAAGAAAAAGGAATGCAGACCACCTTCCTTCCTCACTTTCCATTATTGTAGGCAATCTATTAGCTTTGAAAACTTTGGGCCTTGCTCTAGAGCCTGGTAAATCATATTATTCACTTGTAGTTTTTTATATCAGATAAATATAATATTGGTTCATCCTACTAGGAAATGTTTTTTCAAGGGTCTGGCCCATATCTACTATATAGTATAGGACCATTCAGATACTTGGGACTTGACAAGATTCAAGGACTCTTTTTGCCCTCTGTCCCTCAAAACCTACTCCAAATGGTTTATACAACATATAGAAAGCGAACAAAAGCATGTATGACTTGATTTCCTTTTATCATATTCCAAAAGATATGATACATCTAATCCCATAGGCCAAATCACTCTAGAATTTTCAAATTCCAATTATATTTGCCCTTGTCAACTTACTCAAAACCTCACAATTTAACTGAAGAAAGTAGACTCCATAAATCAGAAATAATAATCATCTTTTAAAAAAGGATTGGCTTGGATAGGATAAAATAATTTCATAAGCCTCCTCCAAGATTGTTTATGGCATCTGAGGCAATTCCAGAGGGTTAAAAAATCTGTTTAGAAGTTATGCTAGTGGACCACTTGGATCTGGTGTTCAAATACCAGATTTGCTTTGAAACAGTATAAATGTTATTCTTGAGCACTGCATCAGACTTTCCTAGTTGTAATTTAATTTACAACCTTTACTTGGATTATTTATCATAATGGAAGGGCTAAAGCAGAGATCCCTTTCAAGAAAGCTGTCCTGAAACCATCCATTAGTTTTCCTGCTTCTCGATCTCCTGCATAACTGGGGTATAAGCAGAAGCAAGAGGAATGTTACCCATTTACAATAAGAGCTCCAAGGATATGCTGCTTCTACAGATTCTATACTCTTTTTTCTGGCTGCTATCATATCCATCACCTTGACTGCCAAGCAGGACTCCTCTCATCAGCCTCAATCCCCCTACCTTCTGCTGCAGAGGGAGGCATCTGCCTGGCCAAAAGCTACTGGGTTAACCCTCTCAAAGCCAGTGAATTAAAGCTTTTACAGCTTCTTCACCAATGTGAAAACTGTTGAGCAAAGTCTGAAATATTCCACTGTAAGGAAAACAAATAATCAACCTGAGGAACAGATGATCAGGACCTTTGATTTTAATTGCAGTTTTGTCATTCAACTAAATAGGGGAAAGACTGTGTTGTAACTGGTCGTATCTATAATGTGGGGCTGAGGTGGGATCAAAATCCAGAACTTTTCATTCCTTGCCATTTGCATTAATTACTAAGCAATGCTCTGTCTCAAGGACTCTGAAGCTTGCAAAAGTAGTATAGACTTTTAGAGTAGTATGGCCACTGCTCTTTTGGCTTGCACTAAACATTTATATTTGTACATAGACTCGTATGGGTCCAATAGTTTCTGCCTATTTGGAAGGCACCCAAAGCACTCCAAAGAGTATGAGACAGACATTTGGAGAATGCAAGATGGGTAATCATATTTTTTCTAGTGTGTGCTTTATTTCTGAATTTCTGTTTGACACATCAGAAAACAGAAGCAATAATTTTCTTGGATCCTTAAGGAGGAAGAAATGCAGTTCCAGTCATGAACTTCCTGCTTCGTTTCAATTATGAAATGACTGAGGTACATTAAACCCCTGGTGGCGCATGATATTCCCCATGCTGTGCTGTGCTGTGCTTTCTTTTTTCGTTTGTTGATCTCATTTATTTGGGTTTTAATTAAAAGAAAAAAGCAATGGGCTATATCAAGCACAGTGCATATTCTCAAATAATATATAATACACCAAAACCAATATTTTTAGTGGCTTAAGTTATGTACCTAAACCTATACTCAAGCACCTTAAGTAAATAGTCTGATTTTCAGAGGTGCCATGTACCCACTGCTCTGAGCCTCCTGAAAATCAGATAGGAGAAAATATCGCTTTCTCAGCACCCTGTGTTACTGCAGAACTGAATGCAAGTTTAAATGTATATTTTTATTACTCTTAGATTAAGAATGAGGTCTGAAAACATGTAGGGCTCAGACTTCTGACATTCTTGCCTGCTATTGTTGCTCACATCCCACTAGATTATACATCTCCTTAAAACCAAGTCCTCCTTTGACTTGAAAATACAATGTACAAGTATTGTATTTACTTGCATAGAACATGAAAATTAGCAACTGAAAAAATCTGGGGGTGGGGGTTAAAAGAGAAAACACCTAACCATTTGTTTTCCAGTTGAAGGCTGGGGCTGTGCCATGCTGGGGCAGGACTCTCATCAGCCTCAATCCCTCCACCTTCTGCTGCAGAGGGAGGCATCTGCCTGGCCAAGAGCTACAGGTTTAACCCTCTCAAAGCCACTGAATTAAGGCTTTTACAGTGCTGTTTCCCACGTAATTCAGAGGCTCCCCACAACAGCTGGGGACATTTTTTTTCTTTATTCTGTCTTCCCAAAACAAGGTACATGTCTTATTCAGGGGCATATGGAATGTGAATAAATACAGTTTATGCTTTAACACCACACAGGAGATGTGTGGTTGCATGAGCTTGTCCACAAAAGATAGTTATGCAAATAGCATCCAGTTATTAAGGCTATGTTAGTAGTTTCCCCACAGTTATCAAGAACTTTTTATGGAGCTGGAAAAATAAACCAGAGAAAACTTACAGTTCACTTGAACAAACACCACAGCCTCATCATGCCCAGCCACATTCTCAGCCTTGACTGAGACACGGTATATCCCAGGGTTCTCATAACGATGGCGGATAGGTTCACCGGTCATAGTGAGATTCACATATATTGCCTTAAATCCATCTCCAAGATCCACCTGGTACTTAGTATTTAGAACATCTCCCTGTCAGAGGAAATAAGTTAGAAATGTTTGGATAGACAATATTCAAACTGGAGACATTGCTGTTATTGATACTACAGAACAAAAAGGTATGGGTGTGCACACGCATGTATTAATATTCAACTATCTGTAATATAGTTCCAAAAAATGAAAATAAAATATTCCAAAGCATTCAGCAAGTTGTAAATGCATTGTGTCACAGTGATGTCACTCCATCTGCACATGGCCAACATATCTCTAAAACACTGCCCACTATGTTAGTAAAAATATAGGTCCTTGAGCACGGTTGCCAGCATACTGTGCAGGTAAAGTGCTCCACCTAGAGACAAACAATCCCCAACACACCTACAGGTTTGGCAACACCAACCTGACCAGCACCACGATTGAAAGGGACCTGGGGGTAATAATTGACCACAGTATGAACATGAGCCAGCAGTGTGACGCTGTAGCCAGCAGGGCCAACGATACCCTGACACGCATCAATCGATGCATCTCCAGCAAAACCAAAAAAGTGATTCTCCTGCTCTACTCGGCATTGGCAAGACCACAGCTGGAGTACTGTGTCCAGTTCTGGGTGCGGCACTTTAGCAAGGACGTGCTAAAGCTTGAGAGAGTCCAGAGAAGGACCACCCATATGATCAGAGACTTGCACAGCAAGCCATATGAGGAAAGGTTGAGGGATCTGGGACTCTTCAGCCTGAAAATAGGAGGCTGAGAGGGGAGTTGTTAGCAGTTTACCACTACAACAGAGGCATACATCAAGGGCTCAGTGAATAATTGTTCGCCAGGGCATGCTTAGGGAAAATTAGAAGTAATAGCTACAAATGCCTGGAAGACCGTTTCAGGCTCAACATTACAAAAAACTACTTCACAACTAGAGTGTCCAGACTGTGGGATAAGCATGGGGGCTGGACCCAGTGATCTTGCAAGGTCCCTTCCAGCCCCTTACAATCTATGAATTTATGAATCTGTGAACAGAGCCATAGCCAAGATAACATTCAGGAGCATAAGGCATGAACTCTGAGACTTAGTGATGTGGGGAACTGAACTGCAGGTTTGGGAAATAGTATATACATCCAGATATATCTTTATGCCATGTTAGAGATTTTGTGTAATTTACTGTAACACTAGCTCTTCTGAGAGCTCATGAAAGTGCTACTATTGTGTTAATATTAAGATTTGTGCACTAGGACAACTATGATTGTCTTCAGTGTGCCACTCCACTAAAACTAAAACACGCCCATCAAAGGCCTTCTATTGTCACTATGAAGCACAGTGTGACCATTCAGAAGAGAAAGATGTCCAATCTGGACATGAGTCTAAAACCAGAGGAAACTTCTATTATCTTTTAGCTCTGGACTGTGGCATTCAGTTTTAAAAGTTCTGAGTGGATCTGGAGAATGGCTGTAGTGCATCTATATACTGTACTAATTTGGTCACTAAAATCATTTATCAGACCAAAGAAGGTTTTCATCCCAATTACATTACTTTACCACACAGACGACTGTCTGGAACAGGGTATGGGTAGTGTTATTGTCATCACTGTCGTTACTACTACTACTATTACATTATATTGCAGTTTGGTTCAGTAAAACATTCATTCCTTTCACATAGAAGAGAAAATATATGTTCATATAAAGAGAATACTCAGAATAAAGAACGTCTAGAATTATCAAATGCTTGCTCTTCATATTGTCTGACCAAGAAAAGGAGTTTCTTGCCTTCTATTGTCCTCTGTTGTGAACATTTTCCTACAAATAACCATTTCCTTTTGCTGCAGATAGGTGGAATTTAATAGAGGAAACAATGCCGCATTCAAATTTAAAAAGGAGATGCTTCAGTGATGTGCTTGTACATACAAAATCTTTGGGGGCCTCTAAGAAAGCTAATAAACAGTATTTGCTTTTTATGTTGGCAAAGCACATGCATATCGTCTCCAGGGATAAGAAGATACCGTTCAATGCTTGGAGCTGGAAGAGTTCTGCTAAATGTTCTGTTTTGACTTTCCCCTTCCTGATGTTACACTGACAGTGATTCTCTCAAAGCACTGATACCCCACTCCGATTTCACTATCAAAAGGAAGAGATAATAATGACTTGACAACAAAAAAGGAACATAGGAAAATGCAATTTCAGTTTAATAGGCCTTGAACACTTCTATCTGACTACTGAAAATAGTGGGTTTCCTTGATTTTATTGACTTATACATTAAGTGGACTGAGCCAAGATATAGTGGGATGGCTTATTTTCTTTTTACTATTATATCTAAATACGGTTATTCATCACCTGGAAAAATACAGGTGTGAGCAGAAGACACTTGCAAAAAAAAATTAGTATTCAAATGCAGCAATAAATCCGAAATTATATGGGACTGATATAGTAGAAATGTTGCTTACACTCCCTACCTGTCAGAAGAGCTAATTAGCCTCTTATGTAAAATTTGCTCTTCTCTTTTTAAGTTCTATGGACTGCTATGGAGATTTGAGCATTAATATTGATTCTCAGCCATAGGGGGCAGCAAATTGTCACATTTTTTGTAAAACTCCATTACACTTCAGAGACACAGAGAACACTGAAAATATATGGAACACCAGTCAAATACCAGGACTTTTGAGGACATTTTCATATCTTTAGATGTTCCACTAGATGACAGAAAGACATAAAATTCATACTCCAACAAAAATCATAACCTTAGCAGCCCCATAATAATAATAAGAAATGATAAATACCTGAACTCTAAGATTATAGTTAAGTTCTATATTTTTACTAATAATGAGATGGTGACAGCATACAGAATTAAGAACTGAAATAAAGTATATCTGGCCTCACAACAGCTAATTTATAAAAATTGCTTAGAGCCAGATACTGCTATATGTTAAGTAATACCTTACTTCACATATATTTCCACTGACTGCTGCTGAAGTAAATCAGGAATCCCAGGGTTGTATCAAATGGGCCTAGTGAAATACGTGACTTTCCTTCAGACTCTCTCTCTGAAGGAAGCTTAGTTTTTGTGTAGGAGTGGTCAGTACAAGCTCGTGTGAAGAAAAATGGCAGAAGCTAGTACTTAATGAGTAAGTACTAAGACACAGAGACATTGCATCCTGCGCATAAGACTGTTACAGCCTGCTTCTGGTCATACCGTTAAGATGTTAGTTCTTTCAATGAACAAACATTGAAAGGATTAATACTTAGTAGATGTCAGATCTTCTTACTGCTTCACTGATTAACAAAACCTGGTGTTTGGCCTTTTGGAAAGGAGAGAATGGATTTTCAAAAATGTTCAAGGCCAGCTCTTTAAGTGTTCGGTATCTCAGCTGGCATAAGGGGCACAAACAGAAGTGCAGCTCCCAGCTGTAACTCAGAATACTTTGCAGGAAGCGTTCTGAGTTACAGCAATCCCCTGGACCAAACAGAAGTTCACTACTGGCTCCAGGAGGGAGGGGAATCTAGTTGCTGGCTGCCAACCTGCGGCTAGTTTCCACTAGCAATGGCCCCTCTTCCCTCCCAGCCTGTTGCTGTTTTCAGAATGGGAAGAGGGGGAAAGGGAGCAGAGGGAGCTCATTCTGGGGCAGTGGGGTGGGGGCTTCAACACACCCACCCCACCATCCAGCAGGGGTTAAAAAAAATCCCAAATAAACTTGCTCTGCTTCCTTCCCCCCTTTCCATTCTGAAAACAGCAACAGGCTGGGAGGCAGCGCAGACGCACGTTAAAGAGGAAATTAAAGAGAAGTTCTATTTTGAAATATCTTCATCTGAACCTTCATGCAATGAGGGTCCAGATTTTTGCCTGATCGGCCATCCTTTAAGCAGTCTGCAGCCATGCACTTGTGTTTGGTCATGACTATAGACTGCTTCCTGTGGCCAGATAGGGTGAAAATTATCACTTCTGTCTGTGCCCAAGATGCTCAAAGGAGCACAGCTCCAATTCGGGCATATAAATAAATCTCAGACTGCCCAACACCCAACTGCTGCTAGTGTTACTTTTATGCAAGGTGGAACACTTTTGTAAATCCAGGTCCACCCTAGCTAATCCCCCAGTTAGTGAATTTGGGGCCCTGGCTGTTTGAATTTATTGAAATAGGGTTACTATATTTTCAGATCCAAAAAAGAGGGGGGGTTAGATATTTGTGAGGGGCAGTGATGTGATGGTGCCCTGGCCCTGCCCATTCTGTTGCCCCTCACTCCCAGCCACAGACCCCCAGCCATGCTGCGGCCCCTCACTCCCAACCTGGGGACCCCTAACCCTGCCAGTGCTCCTGTCTCCCAACCTGCAATACCATGCTGCCCTGGACCATGCTGGTGCCCCCTACTCCCAACCTGCAGCCCCCTGCCCTGCACTCTGGACCCACAGTCCCCAGCCCCTCACTTCCAAGCCACAGCCCCCTGCTCCCTCTGTCTCCCAGGTGCCCCACCCCTGCAACCTTGTTCACAGAGTGGGCTGCTGCCTACAACCCAGCCCCCTCCACAAGATGCAGTCCCATACTCTATAACTGATCAGATGCTGCTGCAAGAGGAATAGATAGAAAAAGACAGGTGCTAGGATCATGGAAGTGCCTTCTGTGCTGAGGCAGAGAAACTAAACTGAACTTGGTAGCTGCTAGGACCCTGGGGACATCTCTGCGCCCAGGTGGCCAGGCATTTCCCGCTGCAGCCCGGGTGCCTGGACGGCTTCTCCCAGTGCTGGCAGGCACCTGCTCCCCTTGCACAGCTGAGCTGAGGAAAATCCTGGACATTTGATTAGATTTAAAAAACCCGCGTGGACGGAGATCGGAAGATCAAAAAGGAGGACATGTCTGGGAAAACCCAGATGTATGGTAACTCTAATTGAAAGGCATAAAATTATTGCAAGTTATCCTCTTCTATTGATTGGATGTTAGCTGAAAATGTACTTCCTGTACTTTTGTCTTCGTATGACAAAAGTAGCCTCTTTACATCTTACTTTGCTCTTCTCTGATAGTACAATTATTTCAGGAATTTTCAAAGCAGCACAAGCAGACTGGGTGTTTCCATCCCTTAAACTACAATTTTCAAAGAAGTTAATGTGTTTACAATGTTTACACACCCCACTGAGAAGACAAACTAGGTTTCTTTGACAGAGTTGTCAGTCACCAGGTCCACTGACTACTTCATTAAGGAACAATTAGCACCTCCTTCAGAAGCACAAGTTAATCTCCTTTCAGCCCTCCAGCAGATAGGAGATAAATTAGCACTTGGAAATGGTAAATCCAAAAACAGCATTGAAATTTTCAAAAAGCTGAAGTTCTTTATTACCTGCTCTTGTCTGACAATGAAGGTGATGTCTTCTCCAGGCTTAACAGCCAGGCTTTCTCCTTTGATGCTGATCTGTAACCCTTTGGGAGCAATCAGTGGACACATATGCTGGGCTAAATTCTGTTGCAAATCAACCCCACCTTCACACACATTAGACACCACTTTCCTATACCTGCAAGAATGGTAAGTAGTGATTAGTGGGGGTCACTGGGGGCAGCATGGAATATCTAACAATATAACAATGGAGCCAGTTTGAAGTGTGGTTGGCTATCAGATCAGACAAAAATTATACCGAGTCTCACGGAGGAGCAAATTCCAGTGCTTAAGCTCATGAAATTTCCAGGCTCGTGAAGCTCTTAATCATTTTTAAATATATTCTGCGTAACAAACTAAAAATGCCTTGACAAGGGTTGCCCAAGAAACTTTCCGGATTATACCTCAACTATTTAAGGATCAGTTTCATTCAGGTTTGTTATTTTTAACCATTCTTTTGAAACAAGGTTTATATGTTTCATTCTTGGGAATTCAAGCTCTCTCTATTACAGCTGCCAGCCCCTTGTGAGAATGCAGAGTTTTCACTAATAAAGAAAATACACACAAACTGCAAGTCTCTGGCCTGATTGACATTTCAAGGTTTAGCCCCAATCTACACAACAGCGAATGATGATGTTGCTATAAATGGGAATAGATGCCAGCTGCAAGTTATTCTCAGCACACATGTCAGACTACCTTGTAGTATATGTGCTATACTCTATTGTTTACAGCTCTCTGAAGCTTTCCTTTGAATCTCAGTGGCCCTTATGATTAGGCAAAGAATCCATCCTCTGCACAATGCTTTATCCTCGAGGAAGTGAGAGGTAGGAGAAGGGATCTGGAAAGCTTAGTGAGGTAATACTTGCTTCTAAGTATATATATGATTTGAATCTAAATAAAATTAAAGGGTTAACATCAAAGACTGTCTAACGGCTCACTATCATATGTGCAGCTGCTGTTGTTATAAATAACCCCTAAGATTATTAGAAGAGAATTTAAAAGGAAAAAAATGACTCTGTTTGGAGATTGTTTACTTTTTCATTTGAGCCTGGCTCTGTACGGGGCTAGTTGCCTCTGTCTGGGTCTGCAGGGGGTGTTTCCCAGTAAAGCTAACAGCAACAGTCAAGCTGAATGGGCAACAGTCAGGGTGTATACAGGAGGGAGATGGCAAGAATGTGCTTTTGCCAGCTGCACCACTCTCAGATTTAAAACCCCAGCTCCTGGAAAGTATGTGAATTCCCAAGGAGCTCAGCTTTCTTTTCTTAAAATTCTTTCACCCCCCTCCCAACTTTCTAACCATCATGCTGGAGGGCTCATAGCATGAAAATATATCTACGGAAACTTAGAAACTAGGAGGGAAATAAAAAGACCCCATTTTTTAATGTGTAAAAACCTTCTGATATGCGAACCAAATTTCACAATTTTTTTGGCTTTCACTCATGGTTTATGGGTTCTTGGTGTTGGCAATAGCGAACAAGTTTGAAACCCCTTATAACTGCAGCCATGAGCAGAAACATTTAAAAGAGACTTTAAGGACCTAGTATTTTGAGAGAGATTTATATGACTTTTTAAAATAAATCAAGATGATAACACTGCCCTTTCTACAAAACTCTCACACACTAAACGTACCTTTAGAAAATTGGGACAGCCAATGGTCAGATGTACAATTATGCTAGTATAAAGGGAAGCATGGACTTACTGCTTGGGAGACCATATCAGCTGATCCAATGCAATCTTGCATTTGTCCACTCCTAACCTAGAGTATGCGAAGCTAACCTGCAGTATTTTATCCCTGAATGAAAGAGGGGGAAATTGCTATTGTTTAGCTTCATTTGTTGCAGGTTAGGAGCAGGCAGATGAAACAATCACCCTGAATTCAGATGCAGTATGTCCCTCCTCAAACCCCACAGGTTTCACTCGGTATCTGTTTTATCAGTTGCTACCCCAACATAATTCACTATACAGAGTTCCACTTACATTTTCTTAAACCTACCCTTTGACGCTTGGACAGAGTGCTTTCCATCTCTGCAAGTTAAGAAAATAACAGACTTACCCAGTGCTGCTTGTGTATGCCTGTCCTAATACGCAGTCTTCAGGAGGGGATTCTGGATTAAACCAAAAGTCAGCAAAGCACTTGCTGGATTCTGACTTCACAGGTGCTGAACGCTCAAATCCATAATCACTGCAAGAACCCACAGAGAATATGTTAGCTGTCCTGATTTTTCATAAATCTGTTTTCTGGGTTAGAATAGGAGTAAAGGAGAGTAATTTTAATGTTATCTGGTAGGAGGTTAGCATCCGGGTTGATCAGTCCAGTTCTGCTCTCAGACCAGAGTTGTGTAGTACATATGAGGGCAGAATGGGTTGTACACAGAATCCCCTCTATTTGCAGTTAGGTTTCTTTTAAAGAGCTCCCTTTACAATTCAAATCAATACATGTATCCTCTTTCTCTTCTGCTTCACTTGTGACTGCAGAGGATTTGTACTAAAGGTCAATCCCAATGGTCATTATTCAAATTTTACTCAGTGGCAGTTTATCTGAATAAAACATCAGGATTTGTCCAGTCAGGTGAAAATGATTGTTCCTTCAAAAATGTCAATGGTTTTCTTATTTCATTTTTTTCAAAAGAAAATTCACAGCACGCAGCTTCCGTAGCAACAAACATATCTTGGCATTTCTCTGCCAGATTGTGAAATTCTACATAATTTCTTGCAATATCAACCCACATAAAACAGAAATAAAATTACTGAAATATTTTTTCTCTTTACCCAGAAACAAATGTAACACATGGGAAAAACAATCTGCCATTGAAATCCCACTGGATTGTTTTATTCTTGGTTTTTGTTTGGGGAAATGTGGGTTTCACATTCCATCATCTTTCGGATACTGTACAGTCCATAGAAAGGCTCACCATAAGAAGTCAGAGTTCACACACTCGCAAACTTTGGATGTGAGAGCTGACGTGAAACTTCTTCCTTTAATGCACCATGATGAAATTTTCCTCTTCCGAAAGCTTCTTCGTTGACCCATGATGCAACGGTCCCCCTGAACATTAAAGCACTGAACTGTAATAACCAAACCACCCTGTCATGAACTCCATCTAATCATCATCTTAGGTTGTGTAGAGGAAGGCTAGTCTTGTAGCTGAGGCACTCGACTGGGACTCTGGAAATACAGGTTTAATTCTCAAGCGTGTTACAGGCAACCTAGGCCACCTTCAGCATGTCACTTTAGACAAGATTTTCAAAAGTCAGGATTTTTTGTGTTTTGAAATAACTACTAACCTAGTGGGTAGAATACACATCCAGGGTATAGGAGACTAAAATTCAAATCTTTTCTCTGCCTGATTTAGACCGATTTGACTACCAGCTTCCCATCTCCCAGATAAGTATTCTAGCCAATACAGTACACATTTATTCTTTCTTATTCTCTGCCTTTGTCCTTCTCTTTCCCTTTTTCTATTTTACACAAACAAGCACATATGCTTTGGCTCTTGGAATTACAAGGCTTGAGCCTAACTCTCTTTATGGATCCAGTGCTAGGAGAGACATTTTCTAAAGTGCAGAAGACCAAAATATGCACAAAAATGTAGATCCAGTTCCTGCAATTATACACGCAACTCAAGCATTTGTGCCTGCAAAGGGGTCATTTAAGCACGTCCTGCACTAATAATTGAGTGGTTGCTAACACAGGATCATTTTAAAAAAAAAAAGCGTACTTGTTTCCAGTTTCTGGGAAGTATGATTTCAGTGCCTCAACACACTTTTTTTGTTATGGCCTAAACCTACATAATACTTTCAAGTGCGTGTCATGCCTATATTAGGAGTATAGGAGTAGGAGCATGACAGCAATGGCACAATAGCCAAGAGTGAGAGTTAAAGGAAAGTTTGTTTGGAATAATATAAATTGGCAGGCAAGACGAAACCTGGAGAACACATGGACGAGGAAAAGAGAAAAAAACTGACAGTGATCATGACTAACAGCAATATATCTCATGTAGTCCAAAAGACTAGCACACTACTCTACAGACAATACAAGATAAAGAGAATGAGAACCAGAATGCAGGTAAAATTGAATTTGGCCAGCACAGAAGACATTAGCACAGCTAATGCATTACTACAGATTTGGTATTGCTCAAGTTGTTTGGTATTGCTCAAAACAACTGGACTCTATTATATGATTGTTCCACTGAGATTCTAAATTTCTTTTGGAATGGGTTTTTACTTATGCTGATTTACATTCAAGTACCATATGTAGTCAGGAAGCTGGCAAAACATGACTACATATTCAAATTGCTTCAATCAGTACTATAGATTTTGGCTTACAGTGTGTGTCTCAGAATCCAGAAGGACCACCTATTATTATGGCAAATCACCAAGTACACTTCCCTCCACCCACAGACCACCATTAAGACAATAAAGGGAACACAAAATCTATTCTCCCTTTACACTAAGCTATTTTGAAGTCACTAATAGTTGTAAAAAATAAGCTTTGCTCTTCCTTTCAAATATCAAGGATAATCAAAGTTGGGAGCTGGAATCTATGCTTAATGGCAATGGTTTGTGTAGCAGAATGGATACGAATATTGTTAATTTAAGAGCACTGTTTGCTCAATACCTGAAGATTTGTGAGGTCCCAAGATTCATAGTCATCTTCAGTGCACTGCCTTGGGAAAGATGGTCTGAAGTCTACTTTCACCAGTTCCCAATCAGAACGATAACTGATGTGTCCAAAAACTCTGAACAGAAAGATTTTAAAAAGTTGTATGAGAAAGCAAGACCATACATTAGAACTTTCTAATTTTTATTTACTTTTGCCCACTATTTACATTGCTCTCTGTTGAAAGGAAAGCACTGCAGACTTATTTTTCAGCATTTTTCTTCTCTTTTGATGTAAAAAAGGAAACAAATGCCAATTGTTTACAGGTCCCAACAAATGAATAAAAACTATACTACTCATTTATTGGAGAACCATTTTACCATAAAACTATCCAGGGATGAAGGTAGAAATATGAATTTTTGATATAATAGAGGACATGGCATTTTAGATTAACTTTTTTGGTAGGTATATTTTGAGATGTTGCAGCTGAGATAAGGGATAGTGAATGTTATCTAGATCTGGAATGGGTGCAAGGAGTTAAATTTCCAACTCTGCCTCTGACTTGCTATATGACTGTGACACAAGTTCCTTTGTGCTTTTGTGCCTTCCCTTACTCAGGCCTAAAATGGAAATATTACTAGTGATCAAACCTATAGAAATGTAGAGAAGCTTTATGATGAATGATGTGTAAGGCACTCTGAGATTTGGGACAAGTGCAAAGAAGGCATCATTATAATTATTTTGAATCAAGGTATTGTATTGGAAATTGTGATTCCTCTTCCTGAGGTATTACACCTAATGCTCCGTGGCTTAGCTTTAGTAAAGGAGTCACAAACAGTAAGATTCCTCTTGAGCAACCTCTTGAACAAAATGGGAAGATCTTTCTGTTACAAAAAATAGGCTATGGTTTCAAAACAGGGAACGCTTTTGAAGACAGGACATTTATTTCCAAAACAAAATGGGTAAGTGTAACATCCAGCAACAAATTAGTAAGAATGAAATCCTATTTGGGAAAAAGTCAGATATGTCTGTGGTTTGCATTGCAGCTTATTCAGGCTCATGTGGTTTACTTGCCAAAGAATTCAAGGCTGATTCTGAAGCCAGCAGTTTCTATGCAGTTCCTCCACAGAGCTCATATTTTGGGCATTAGCAGCCAGCCCACCCAGACTAATTTACTCTTTTGATTGTGCCTGTTAGTTTGGCTAAACTGCAGACATAGTGGCTGCATCTACACGTCACCATACAGCAGGATGTAGGTGGCCAGGCCTGCAGATAGGTCCTGGAAGAGCAATGAAGGGGTCAGCAGGGCAGGGGCACTGGTTACTTGGGGATCTCTCCCCAAGAGGGGAGATCCAAGAGGCATAGTCTGAGACATGAGCCAAGGTCAAGATCCAAGGGTCAGAGAACCATTTCCAAGTTCCAGGAAAAAAAAATCCAAGATCAGAGTCAAGGAAGCCAAGCCAAATAAGGATGCTAGGGAAACCAGAGAGATCAAAGGTAGTGCCAAGTTTCAGGAGAAATCAGGGTCAGGAAAAGCCAAGGATGGGTCAGAAGTCAGGAGAATCAGGGAGGTATGTGAATTTGAGGTTTGCCTGAAGCTGTGTCAAGGCATATCTGCAGCTTGAGGCTGCAGGTGCATTTAAAAGGGATGAGTGGTGCTTTCAGCAGCCAGTCTGGTTGCAGAGAACTGAGTCAGTCCAATCAGCCAGGAATCAGGGTCAGGTGTGGTAACTGAGGTTCTTGGCCCAGCCAGGCCTGCTGGATCAGAGTTCCTGATGGCAGAAAACTCTTGTCAGGACTTTGTGACTCATGGGACCCTCTGTAGCCCCTCCACACCCCCAGTCATGTGTTGTCTCTGCTTCTCTTTGGCTGTCCCCTGCTTTTAACAGCTGTTCACTTCAAAGGTACAGGAATGGACACAGTACAGCTAGGACAGAGCTGTGGGTCTGAGAAGGGGGAGAGGTGGAGGGTGGGGAACGGTACCAGAATGAGGGGAGTGTGGCCAGCAGAGGTAAGGCTGGGGCATGGGCTAGGTTGGAGGCAGCACCGTGCAGGGTGCAGTCAGCGGTATTATAGTGTAGGGGTGAGTAGGGGACACTGGGGTGGGGCAGCATGGCATAAAAACATTGCTGTAGTCAAATAAGACTGTATTAAAAGACATTACACAACCCCTAAATTTGAACTGCTCCCTTGTTACTGCCTTCCAGTGCTTGGCAGAAGAGTTCAATTTTCATGTATAAAATGGGTATCAGATACCCGGGCCAGATTTAGCCTGCATCACCAGGGGCTGAATGATGATTTAGCCCCATCATTCGGCCCCTGGTGCTGGTCCTGGGTCCAGAGTAGACCCACATATTGCACATGGCATACAACCAATTCTGGCTGCATAAGATGCCTGTTCTGGCCAATCCAGGACCCATGATGCATGTTGTACCTCCCCCAGCCAGTCTGGGATATGAACCACATGTGGCACCTGCCCTGGCTGGCCTGGGACCCGTGCTGCACATGGCAGCCCCCCCCAGTCACTCTGGGACAAGTGTCACAATGTGTGCAGCATAGGTCCTGGATTGGCCAGAAAGGACACCATGTGTGGCACATATCCCAGACCACCTGGAGTGATCACCGTGTGCACTGGATGCAGCATTTGGTGGGGAGGGTGTCTGTGGGCCCAATCTGGTCCATGGGGCTGTCCAGATGTTTTTCATCCAGCTCATGGACTAGCTCAGCACCATTCATTCAGTTCATGGGACCAGATGTGTTTGACATCCCTGACGTAAAACATATCAGTAAAAAAGTTTGGTTGTCAGTAAAAAATCTGCATATTGCCAGTAAAAAAATATTCTTGGGTTGGCAACCTGATTAGTATGACCAGGCAAAAATATCTCCTAGTTTCACTTAGTCTGAGACTGGAAATCCCACTCAGGACACACAGACTATAGGAGAACTGATTAGATATCTGAGCTAAAGAAGTGTATGGCACCGTTAATCCTGTTTTAGCAAAAATTGTATTTATTTAAATAATTTAGGCAAAAAGAAGTGATGGTGTCTCTGTGGAAAGGGACATAATGGTGCATGAGTTGGACCTGTTGCAATTAAATTTTCATCCCATTTATCTCTGTCTCTGGAATATAGCTAGATGATAGGCTGTAGTTTATTGTAATACAATGTGGGTGTATAAATTCATCAATACAGGGCAGATTAAGAGAGCACAGCTGAAGAGAGAAATGGGTTAAGGAATATTCATATAAACTGAATATGTTCAAGTCGGCAGACCTTGATGAAATTCACCCTACAGTACTTGAGGAACTAGCTCAACTAATCTCTGAATTATAAATGATTACTTTTGATAATTCATCTGGACAGGGGATATCCCAAATGATTGAATAAGGAGAAACAGAAAGAAAAGAGGGCCTGTGGAATTACCGTCAGTCTAAATTTCATACCTTGAATGATACTAGAACAAATTATTAAACTATTTATAAGCACCAGGAAGATAACAAGGTGGTAAGAAACAGCCAGTGTGGATTACTCAAGAACACAGACTGTTGACCCAATCTTATTTCCTTTATTAGTATAATTGGCCTAAAGAAGAAAGTGGCAGATGTGACATGGTTTGACTTCAATACATTTTTGATGCTGTTTTACATGATATTCTCATAAGCAAACTATGGAAATATGGTCCAGATGAAATAACCATAAGGTGCACGGCTAAAAAACAGCTCTCAAGAACTGTAAAAGGTACAGGCTCAACCTATAATTGGGTGCTCAACAATTTTGATATGTGTTTGCAGTATTTTGGGCATGGAATAAAAATAAGGAATCAGATTTTTTTCAGTGCACCTTTTATTTTTAGTGCACTTAACCCATTGGACTTTTTCCTAGGTTATTTGATTGCTTTAGGATTTTATAAGGGATATAGGCATTCAAACACTTGAGCTGTGCTTATCAATTTATATTTGGGGAAAAAAGCTGTTTTTTCCTAAAACTGAACCTGAAAACTTGGGGTTGACTTAATACCTAGACTTGGAACTATATAGTAAATCCTACAGATGACACAGGAAGGAGAAAGTATTAGCAATGGAGGACAGGATCAAAATTCATAGTGATCTTGATAAATAGGAGAAATATTTTGAAAATAACAAAATTAAATTGAACACAGACAAGTACAAAGCACTACACTTAGGAAAGAGAAATCAAATGCACAAATACAAAATGGAGACTGACTCAATTGACAAGAGTCACAAAAAAACCCAACAATCTGCAAGTTATAGTGGATCACAAACTGAGTGTGAATAAACAATGTGATGTTGTTGAAAAAGTGGCTAATCTCATTCTGGTCCACAATAACAGTAGTGTTATTTGTAAGATATAAGGAATAATTATTTCATTCTTCTCAGTGCTGGTAAGGTTTCAGCTGGATTGTAGTTTTGGCATCACATTTTAGGAGAGAGTTAGGCAAATTGGATAGAGTCCAGAGGAGAACAACACGAATGATAGGAAAGTTAGAAAACATGACCTGTGAGAGAGACTGAAGGAACTCAGCCTGTTTTGTCTAGCAAAAAGCAGACTCAGGTTAGACATGATAACAGTCTCCCTATACATAAGAAGAATAATGATTAGTTGCTTCCTATGTCAACTGTCAGTGGGACAAGAAATAATCAGTTTAATTTGTAGCAAAGATTTAGATTAGAAACTAATAAAAAAAAATCTACCTGTCAGGGTAGTGAAACACTAGAACAAGCTAACTAAAAAAATTGTGGCATCTCTGGAGGTTTTTAAGAACAGATTACACAATCAGCTGTCAGAGGTGGTTTAGGATATTGAATCTTGGCTCAGAGCAGGGCACTAGACTAGGTAACATCTTGCAATCCCTTGAAGCCTTACATTTTCATGGGACACCAATACTGCGTTCATCAAGTAATCTACTCACATGTGACACAGAAAATAAATCTCTCCCTCTTTGGCTCTAGATTTATAGATCTCCACTATGTGAAGTACAGCAGTGGTTCCCAAACTTCTTTCCACTAACAGACCACCATTATCTCCCAACATTTCTTGTGGACCACCATGCCACTTCATTATCAAATGTCTCACTGTAAGGGCAAGAGGAAGAAACGTGCATGCAATCTGTGGGCTGGC